GAGAGATTGAAACAGCTTGCGGAAGATTCACTGTCAAATTCAATAATCGTGCAAAGATATTACTATTATTAATTTTTTATAAGATCATATTTAACAATGTGCAAAATGTTCAATTTTATTAATATTATATAAAACTGCTATTATAATATCAATACTCGTAATTATGCAATAGGTATTCATTTACACAAAATACTCTTTCATATGCACAATATTCGTTTATACAAAATATCTGTTTATTATTAATTAATAAAGATGAGTGTCGCCGGATACTTATTAACATTTTTATCTTCATTCTTATACAATAAATAATTAAAATATCCCGAATTTTATATGCCATTGAATTAAACATAACTTTTTTATTTCAATTAGAATTAATTTTAATTACTACTGGAATCATAAAACAGATACATACATATCCATAAATTTCTACTTTTATTTAATTACTAAGCTAATTCTTTTAAATGTATCTAAAACTATTTAGAGAAAAATCAGAATTTCTTTACTTATATTGAAATTTTGAAAATGAGATGCTAAGTTCACAAAAATGTCATAAAATACTAAAATAAAATAAACTGTTCAAATTATTTAGAAAATGTTATACATTTTTGAGTAACGACGTTGCTATCGTAAAATTATGAGGAATTGCAATATATGCTTTTATCTCCATTTAATATCGCTATTTAATTTAAGACAAATATTGATAAAATAATGCGATCGTTTTATCGAGTGATCGAAATATTTGATGCATGCAACGATAAATACATTGCCGCTCAAGAGTATTTACCTATTCTGTTTTTTAATTAAATGAAAAAGAGTGAACTTCGATCTTCTTCATTTCCTAATCTTCTAAATATTAGATTTAACAATAACATTTAATAATTCAAAGTTTTGTATTTTATACATATAAAAAGAATAGTAGATTTAGAACAGAATATAAAAAAGGCACATACACAAAAATCGGGATGAACAAATACTTTTGAGCGGTAGTATATGTGACATCTGGTCTAAAAATTATCCGTTTCCTTGTCGCCGAATATACCGTTCGAAGGAAAAAGAAAGGAATGTTACAACTGTGCGAAGTAAGAAGAAGAAACTACGTCAACTACATAAGAATGAAGTTGAGGCAGGATGTGGTCACGAGTACGAGAAACATGACATTTTACGGCAATACCATCAAGAAGAGATCCAGTTGAATGGGAGACTCTTGCGAAATCGACTTTTTATGATCTCAGGAAATTTCACCGAATTATCTCAACAATATACATCGCACGAATCTATGTCAACGATGAC